CCCCGCTGAGGAGGCGGCAGCCCCGCGACTCCATGATTCTTGGCTCATTGACAGGTCTTCAGGTGACTTCAGAGTCCAATTCTCGACCCGCCGGCGCACGTGCAGCTCTGTCCATGCGGGAGGGGGAGAGTAGTTTGTAGGGCAAGAGCCCTCGCTTTTTTTCCCCCTTCCTCTTCTCTTCTCTCCTCTGCTTGGAGGGCAAGGGGCTTCACCTCCAGACTTTGACAGCCAGCCTGCGTCCCCAACAGGCCCGCGTCCCACAGGGTGTGACTGCTTATTCTGAAACAGACTTGATTAAGGGAGGACTGGAGTCCAAACCTCTCGGAGTCAGAGGAGGACGCCGTCGCTGCTCTTTGGGATGATTAGACGCAGCAGCTGTTGTGCTTGGACACTGCAGACTTGCTACGCTGGCTTCACACGGGCTGTTGGCAAATGACAGCGTTTAGCTACCACGGGCCTGGGGGGCCGGATTTGACTTCGTAATCTAGAAGAGTTTTGTTTCTGGTCCCATGATGCCCCCCCCCACCGTGTTATGGTTTCTCTGCTGCGCGTCCACCAGCCTCTCTCTTCTGTGTTTGTCGTTTGTCATTTGAAAGATGTGTTTGTTGTTGTCATGTGAAAGGGTCTGGCAAAGCACGGAATAACTTGGGGAAATAAATGAAATTTCAAAGTAAAGAGATGTATAGCAGTTAATACCGAAGTGCTAGCATTGTTGTCAGGGCGGGCTCATTTGCTAAATGCAAGCGCTGCATAACTTTACTTTTCATGCCATCCAGGAAGAGCACACGCCAACGGCAGAAACTTCCCTAGCCTGACGAAGGGTTTTTGAACCCAAAAGCTTGCTTAATAACTATTCTCCAACTATTTGGGTTGGTCTAATAAAAGATATCAAATTCACCCAAGGAACCTTGTCTGCCTATGTCCTTAGACCAACACGGCTACAACCTATACCCCTACAGCATAACTTGAGGCGTTTCTTACTTTGTAAACATTTTGTCGCTTTAGTAATGGAGGCTCCATATGATGGCACCGAAGTGACTGTAGTAATGGAGGAAATAGAGGGTACCTACACCTATGCATCTCCAGTGCCATCGAAGAAGAAAAAGAAATACAAAAGTCCTGGAGACCAGGGGGAAAAGGCCAAAAAACCTCGGTGAGTTCCTCTCTATCTTCCTGTCCGTTTCCATTTGTGGCTCTTTTCATGTGTTGGAGCGGGATTCCGTTTCTTTAGTACAAGTTGCTTCTGCAGTGTACTTCGGCTTGTACATTACTCGGAGCAAGTGCGATGTGCATGCTTTTCTCATTGCCGTCGCATGACCAGAGCTCACCATAATTTGCAGTTCTGTAGCTGCAGTATTGCTGTAGACGCTGTCCCCTTGCTACAGAATGACTTGCTAGAATCTAGATCAGTGGTTCTCAACCTTTTTGGACTTGAAGCACCTCTCACTGGACTTGAGGCACCTCTCCAGTACTTTTGTGAATTGAGTGGCACCCAATTTCAAAAATTGTTTTATCGGTTATAGTGCTTACCTCCTTGCAGAGGGATTTAGGGTGGGAGTGAGAGATCATCCAGACAGGGATGAGCCTGAGCCTGCTCTTACCTGCTTAGTTTATTTGGTTATCTACTCGCACCTTGCAGCACCCTTCAAAAGGTTTGGCTATGCACCCTAGATGAAAATCACTGATCTAGACTTTAACCTTAGAGGAGATGATGATTATGACTGCTATTGCCTGCAATAATGTGTACTAGATGAATGTGTATCCATGAGATGAACAATAAACTTCAAGACTCAAATATGCTTCAGATTGCAGTGAATTACTTATTTTGCTCATTCTCCTCACCCTCCAATATACTCTTATCCTTTTCTGCTTATGGAAAGGCTAAACTATTATAGTGGTCTCATAATTGGCCCTGAGGCCAGCATAAGACTGGCGGCTTTATTTTACATTTGATCTTAGGTAAAAAACTTGCAGTATTACCTTCTGTTTCAGATCAGCTTACCTTCTCTACTACTATGATATCTACTTGAAAGTACAGCAGGAGCTTCCCCATCTCCCACAGTCTGAAATCAACAAGAAGATCAGTGAGAGCTGGAGGCTGCTCAGTGTAGCTGAAAAAAGCTACTACTTGGAGAAGGCCAAACTAGAGAAAGAAGGACTGGATCCAGTAAGTCCTGACCTTTTCTGCCCTTCTTCACTGTATGAATTATAACTTCCTGTCCAATTTGCTTCTTTCCTGAAGAGTACGGTGAGTAAAATACTAGGAAGAATCACGACCTATAAGCTACTTTTGTCTTCGAAGATTTGATGTGCATCTCTAATTGATCCCAGTGTGTTCAGAGGTAGCTGGGCTGGCTTCTTCCTTAGGATTAAAAAGCCTCCCTATTTCTTTAAACTTTAATGTGTCTTGAGTACAGTGATATCTGATTATAATAGACTAAGTCATGATATAATTCA